TCGACATCCCAAACACACGGACATGGAAAACTTTCATTGTGTGCAATCCCAGTGGCACAGGGAGAGGGTAAGATTTACCCACGATCTGACAGCACTGCTCATCTCTATAGTGCTCTAGCTCAGCGCTCGCTCAGCGCCTCCTATTGCCTTACACGGTACACGGTTACTTCGGAAAAAGTTTAAAAAGTTGATAGTTACGCGCGCGTATACGGATGACCATACCCCCTAAACGCATAGTCGTATAGCCGAAAAAGACTAAAAAAAATACAGAAAATCTTTGTTAACCTAGTCAAAACTTTATTTTTTGTGCGTACGATAATTTTACTGCACATTTTCAAAGTGTGTCTGGAGGGTTGCGTTCATACAGGCGCGCATTTTTATAATAATTACAAAGAAAATAAATTATAAAATACTTTAAAAAATGTTTGCAAATCAAATATTTTTATAAATAATGATAAAAATTGAACTCTAATATCGTAAATAATTTATGCATATTTTTAGAATAATATTTAGTATTTAATATAAAAGTTACATGGCGTTGATAACTTATCGGCCGAATACTAAAAAGCGCGCGAAAATCTTTATATGATAATTTTATTATACATGGTAGTATAACACAAGATATATAAAATTATAAATTATCTATAATATATCTTATTTGTATATAATTTAATTTTTATACAAATTATAAGTATAACCTAAGAATAGAATACATTATTTTCACATTATATAATTTTATCATTATATTCTTATGTGAATATATTAACTGTTATTTTACCATACATACAGTTTAAAATTTTCAATAATAAGAATAAAATATGCAATAATAAAACCAAATTTTAAGTTCTTAAAATTAAAATAAAAAAGTTTGTATGTCACTTATTAATTAGAAATTAGGGCCATGTAATTTTTTGCCTTTTCCTTGTAGGTGCAAAAGTTGATTCCTATAATGCAAGAATATTAATTTTAATAATATAATAAAAAGATGAATATATATACATATATATATTTATATCAAAACATACTTCATTTTCTTCTTTAATGTCATGTTTGTTAATTCCATTAGAATCAGTTTCCGTTTGTGAAACAGAAGATAAACGAACTTTTTTTAATACTGATTTAGTTTCATTCGGTAACGATTTTGATTCTATTAAATTTCCTTGAGATACTCTTCTTCTTTTTTCACAAAAGTTTGTAGAGTTGTCATGTTTATTAGAAGCCCTGGAAAGTAAATATATAAATTAATAATATAGTATTAAATTTTCTACAAATATAGAAATAATACTTGCTGTATTGTTATATTGTTGCCACACAACTCTAACATAGGCTTTTGATTTAAATTATTTTTATTTATTTCTTTACAATTTTTGTTCCCAGTTTGTCTTTGGGGTAATGGCATAGCAATTCGTTTGTATAACTCCACCAATTCAATTTTAGATAATTTTTCTAAATTTGTTATTTCAATGCATCTCTGTATGAGCAAGATAAAAATACATTATTAATTAAAAATATTATACTATATAGAAAAATAGATATACACATTTTAAAGTGAAGGTAATATTGATATGCTACTCACATTTTGCAATATTTGGCAGAGTTCATATTCTGACAAAAGTTCTGGTTTAATTAATCGATTGGAATCTATTATTGACATTATTACTTATTTACATAAAAAAAAAACCTATCTATATTACATTACAATACTGAATTGTATTAAAATAAAACACTATTATTTAAGGTTATCCAATTCCCATTGTTTACGCTAATAATTTTTATCAATTGTAAAGAGGTACTCTTTGTGATAATTATTATCTATTTAAAACGAATGTGTACATTCAATATTTTTTAGTATTATTCAAAAAAATTAGGAGTACATAACCTATAACTTTATATTGGATAAAAATTATAAGGAAATTCCATGTTTATTTTTTAATCGCGCTATTTTAACTTTATTCATAACAAATTCAAATTTTTGTTAATCTTATAGCTCATTTTCTCACGTTTGTACATTATATATAATAACACGCAGAAATAACCAAACAGAACAATAAAATCAAGTTCAGTATCACGTGACGATAATCTTGAAACTGTAATGTTTTCATTCGATATATGACATATATAAAAATAATATTTATCTATAGTAGATAAAATAATAAATAATTATATAATAATAAAGTAAGGATTATCAGCGTATTAATAATTCGTAAGATTAAAAATAATAAAATGTATTTATATATATAATTTAAATATAATATATTTTGTCAAATATATAAGTATGTTAAATGCAGTATATTGGAATTAAAAATTACAAAGCAATCTTTTCTAAAACTAACTTTATTCATGTCATTATTTAATCAATCAGTATTGTATTCAATATGATACGGTTTTTTTTCCATATTTTATTATTCACATATTTATTACCTAACTATAAAATGAAAATAAGTACATATACAAAACTATAACAACAATGGAAAACAGTAAACAACAAAGATACATAACATATAACTGTAATACATTGACAGAGTGGCTTTTTTATATATAAATTATATGCAAGTACATTAAATTTGTATCGTCTTTTCATTAATAACATATATCGTTGAAAGGAAAATTTGTATTTTTTTGCAGAATAAATTCATTCGTTTCGTTAGAAGAATTATGCAGATATACTTTATATGTGTACGACAAAATGATGTTATTTTTATGCAATGATTAAACTGGCAATACATTTCTGGAATAGAATGTGTTCAGAACTATTTTTTTATATATAAAAAGTCTTCTTAAAGTATGTATTACAACCTTAGCTGTGCATGATTTCGATATTAACGACTTTTGAAACTGTTAATGCAGATTTATAAAGACTAGATGATACTGTCTCCGATATAACTTTTATTTTGTTTTTCATTGCTGAAATCGTTTCAACATCGAAACCTGAGATTTCCATTTTAAACTCCAGAAAAAATGCTGCAGTTTTATTTTTCATTAAAATTATTTTTTAATTGTGGCTTGTTCTTCAAAGCAGTTATTTGAGACTTTCTTATTTGACATACATTGGTAAATAGTAAAACATTTATCTCTCTTCCTCTGTACAGTTGGCCTTATTATCGTTTCATCCATAATAACTAATTTTAATGATATAGATTATGATCACAAAATGAAATGAATAAATCTTTTATACTGATAATTTATACTGCAAATTTGATCAACATGATCTTAATATTATTATAATATCTCTGATAATTTCACATTATTAACATCATAAGTTATAGGCAATGATTTGCCTATATATCAGCAAAATGTCAGTATAAAGGTTTAGACATTTGCAATGTTCCACTTCGTAATATTCGTACGCATTTATGGCGTAACTTCATTTATCTCTCCAATTATGAATGTATTATTCAACAAGATTGTGACCCTTTTTTCTCATACATGATATATAGTAATATTGGAAAATTTCTATTTAAAAAATATTGAATAAATATATAACGATTTTATACAATTGTACTGTATATACTTTTCATTCAGAAATAAAAAATTAAAGTGGAAGTAAAAAGGCACTATTTTTGGGTATAGAAAGCAATCCTCTTCATAGGCCTCTCTATCTTCTATCAGTAAGACTGTAATTTAATATCTCATATTATAGAAGTTACGCCGTTACAATCGAACAACGCTCATTCTATTGTATTTTTGAAATCGTATTCATTACTGAATGAATATGATATAATTAAATGAAAATATATAAATAAATTATGATCGTTAATCCTTAAAACAAAAATTTCATAATACCTTATAATACAGTGGAAGCATAAAGTAATGTTACTTATATATCTTATCATAAATTATAATGGAATTATTATGCTGTAAACAATTACTTTTTATTATCACTTAATAAATTTGATTAATTGTAGAATAAATTAAAGATTAGCAAGAAAATGTTCAATTGTTCCACGCACAGCTGATCATTCCATGAAGATTATGATGAATATTGTCTCATCATAACTGCATTACATAAAAAGACCAATATATCATATTGACTGTCGAGGATGACATCAATTTAACAATCATTAAACAGGTGTTTCATGATCAGTCTCTTCAATTCTTCCCAATCTCCAAGCATTTGGATCACCTGCTGCTGTAAATTTATAATAATATTTCAAATTTTATAAAATAGAAATAAAAGCTTGAACTAAATACATATCACATATAAATTTTAAATGTACTTTCGTAAAATGAATCTCAAACATTAATTGATTGATATAAATAATAAATGAAAGTAACTTATTAAATTAACATTATCTACAGTAAATAATTGTTCTTTTATAGCACTATTTCAATCATTTTAATAATTAAAAAAATAAATATATTTTCTCAGAAAATTACTCGAAGTAAAGAAAATTAAGCATACGTTGTTATTGCATGTTTCGTAAGCTTTATCAAACATTGATAATAATGCACACACATGCACATAATTTGAAATCAACATTAATAATATTATTTATGATATTTTTCCACCTAATGTGTCCGAATTAACAAAATTAACTGAAAAAGAATGTATATTTTTAGTTATTTTCTATAAATATTTAATACCACATATAAGCTGCTAAAATGGATCAATACTAATGAACACTAAAATAATTACTAATTATTTATTTTACATCTAAATTTAAAAGTAGAAAAAATAAGAAGACAGATGCTTAAGAGGAACCTACCTGCATACAATAATCAGGAGAAAAGAACAAATGAAGTCATTCTGTCAGAATCATGTGAGATGTGTATGCTCGTTTCAAAAACATAATATATGCAATGCACACAAACGTGCTAAATAGAGGCACAGTTTGTATGCAAAATCATTATAAGGAAGACTGAACGTTGTTTTGCACAGGATTTAAAGGACATGTATAAGGCACGCACAGATGATTTGTATGATGTAAGGCATTGTGTAGTACTTCTTGGCTCATGTACAGCAGCGGCATTCTCTCTTCTATCCAAAGCAAAATCAAAATTGATGCAAAATTAAAAAATTGAGTAAATAACAGTAATTGCAGATAATAAATATTTTGCCTAACTATTAGTTAATCATTCAAACGAATTCTTCTATTGTGTTCCCTTCATACAGAAAATTTCATACAAATTTTTCAACCTTTCATGTTAAAAAAAGATAAGTTTTTATAAGATATAAAAGCAATATATAATATAAGAACAGAGTACTAATAAAAGTACTAATAAAAAGTATTTTACTATTAAAAAGAGGATGTGTATCAAATATGCAGAAAAAATCAACCATAACCATAAGTTAAAAAGGAAAACACATTAACATGCATATTGACATGCTATATAGAAGTCATATTAAATTAAGTGTATAACACAGTTGTGTGCGTGTGTTTATAATACAATAGAATTTAAAATATATTCTAAAAAATAAATTATATTAAACATTTATTATAATATTTACTACTAAGGACTCTCTCTGATATGCTTAATATAAATTAACACTAACCTTATACAAAAAGTAAGTTAAAATAAAAATAAAAGTAAAAGCATCATTAAACATCTAAATATATATATATAATTTTTTGTCATAAAGGATCCTGTTATTTTTTGTGTGTGCAAATTCATTCTATTTTAACATTACGTTAAATCTCCTGAATTAAAATAGATTAATATTGCTCATAAACCATTGAGTCTCATTTAAACATAAACTATCTCTTAAACACATAAACATGCTTCTAAATAATTTAATCATTTTTACCTTGAAGTTGACGACTGATAAGAGCAGTAATCCCCTGACTATCACCCGTTTTTTTAACGACAAATAGCTTAGTATCTGGATCATTTTCTAACGTTCCTATGCTGCCAAGACCAATAACTTGTCCATTTTGTTGTTGATGACTGCTAGCTGCCATTGTTTCACTAACCTGCATTATAATTATAATGTATTTTAAATAAACGTAAACATTTATCTATTTTTTAGTTATTTTGATTATTTTTTATTAATAATATGAAAGAATTACCTGCATCAACTTTTTAACTACATCTCTGCCAAGGATATGATCAAAAACTGCCTGCAGGAATTGATCACTAATAATGCTTAACTTTAACTTATCTCTGTGCCATAATAATATCCTTGATTCTTCCATGGCTGTTATAGATACCTATTAAATACAATTATGATTAATTTATGTATTATATACATCATATGTAAAATAAAATAGAAATACCTGGAAATATTCATCTGTAGATACACCAAACCATTCTGGAGAATCCAGGAACTGATGTGGGAAGACAATATGCAATGCTCTTCCATTCTGTGATACAACTAATCTATAGTGAAACAAAAACAATTTTTTAAATACCTAATTACAACTTAAATTATAATGTTATTTGTATCAAATTCATTTTTGTTTGTTCATTTCTCAAAGATGAAAAATTCAATACTCACTTTCCTGATAACACCAATGATAAGGAGTCAACTTTTGTTACTTTCTCTTGAGCGTAAACTTCTTGATATTTTAATTGTCTGATGATCTTCATACAATTTAAAACTTTTTTGAATTGATGGCGAGATACTCTCAATGGCTGGAATACAGCAATATATACCTGTATATCAAAAATTAAGTATAAGATATTTTTTGTATACATGAAATAAGAATCTTATGTAACAGTTTTAAAAGATCCTTAATATATTTGTAATAGGCACTAAACTTAATTTAAACTTTTATATATATATAAAATTTATTAAAAATTGCCATGTTACTCCTGAAATCGTTATAAAACTAAGTTAAAAAATGTTTACATAATTTAAAAAAAATTAAAATGTATAGAGCATGCTTTATATACTATATTATATTTAAATAACAGTAGCTACAATATTAATAATAGCTATATAAATGATTACGAGCTACATTTTTTAGCCCTGTTAAGAGCTATCTACATCGTAATAGATATTTAATTCTTCCAACTGTTTTCAAAACTTAGTTTTATCAGATCAAGATCATTATCACATAGTAAATGATAAAATTAATTAAATATATTTTACAAATTAGAAAATATTTCCGAAAAAGTTCTGATCAGTTGGAATATCCAAATGCAAATTTGAAAGAAGTTTCCACATTACAATCTACAACTATGCATTCCTTAACAAAAGTCTAATCACTAATAAATTTATTGTTATGCAAAGCATAACTATACATCATCTTCAAACATATTTTAAGCTATGCAATACAATACATATCAATCTACTTTTTGTTTTATATAATATATATATATATATATATATATATATATATATATATATATATATATATATATATATAATTTTTTTTTTTTGATACATGTTTATAGATAACTACATATGTATTTGACAAATAAAAGAAATATTATAAAAATTTGATTGTGTAATATTATAAAATAATATGAAGCATCCTATATACAGAATGTAACATTTTTCAAACCTTAATAAATAACTTTATCAATTTCTAGTAACCAATTGTCAATTTATATACTTTTAAAACAGACCTGAACATGGGGGAAGTATATTGAAAATCAAATACGTGTTTTCTCCGTCTAAACGATATGTTCTCCTATGCCCAGATCTGTTTTAGGACACTGCATAAATATTAAATGTGCAAAATAAAATATTGTAACATTGCTCTAAGTCATTATAGCTTCTCTATTATCTTTTACTTACCTCTTCAACTTCCCTTGAAAACTTGATAGGCCTGAGTTTGTAAAGAAGCGTGCATACATGGACGAAGTTGATGACAACAAAGAGAGCATTCCAGAGCACGACGTCCAGCCAGCAAGCTATTGTCCAGCCCCACAAAGCAAGAAAGGCACAGCCCACGAGCAGAGTGCACCTTAAATAGAGGACACCATGTATGCCACTTGGTGCAAGGTGTGACAATAGGAAGAAGACATTTGCTAATTGAAAATAGACATGGTTCACATAAATTCCTTGATAGGGTTGGCAGGTAAGAACTCCGTGGAGAAAGGTTGGAGGCACTGTTGGCGAATGAGGGTGGCCAGTTCCATGGCTGACCACTGACAGTCCAGAACCTATGAAATATTAATAAAAGAAACTGTCCCAAGAAAGTAGTGAATAGTATTTGTGAAATTTAAGAAGTTAGATATGATGAAGAAATATAAAGTGTTTTTAACAATATAAAGTGACCTTATAGAAAAATTTGAAAACATTACAAAAGAAATAAAACTAGAATTATCTATTCTACGTCAAACTACAATGTCATAAAATTTATGTATGTACATTGTTATTTGTTTTTCATGTGTATATACCACAAAAGCAAAGCAAAACTGTACAAAATTGAGATGTACACTAATGAAGATATATACGTACCTGCTCTATTATCAGTGGTCACATTCCTACATTCGTCATTCTCATGATGCGTAACAGTTGGTGATGATATATCTGACGTGACAGTGTTATGAGGTATATTTGATGTATCTGCATTTGTCAAACTAGCATCAACACTGTTAGAAATTGAATATAGAAGTATAAGGAATGAAATGGAAGCACCCAAGCCTTCTCGGCTTCCTATTAAATCAAAACAGATCCACATCCCCGCATTACCACCAAATTATCCAATTTCGTTTCAGTCTGTATAAAAATAATTTTGTCAATTTTTTTAGTCATTATAGAATAACAAAGAAAATCAATATTTAAAACTACTTCCAACGTGTATGTTACTATCTAGATAATACAATTAATTGTTGAATTATTAATTAATGACTAGAAATTATATTTCATACTTATTCATAAACGATGTAACAGTGAATTCTCTGTGCCATTTGTGAATATGTAATTTTTGTTTATGTGTCTACATTACTCTCAGCTAAAATTAGAACTTGAAGATGAAAACCATCTTGTAGGCTTCAGGTCAAGAAAAGATATTTGCATTACAAACAACTGCGGGAAGACAATGTCAACATCTGTAATGTAAACCAACAATATATTTGACACAATGAAGTATAGATCATTACTAATCATTCATTAAATATTAACTTCCAACTTCACAGTAAATTTATCATATTATATTATATTATTTTAAAAATTATGATTGATTTTGTAAAAACTACATTTATTTATGTATTATTAATTATAAAGTGTATTATTTGCTGTACACAAATTAACTGATAATATTTAATTAAAAAATGCAGAGGTTAGATTAAATTAAGCTTCTGTCATATATGATTATACTTAAAATTTTATAATATCTACTATTATATGAAAATTATTTCGTTATACATTATAGTTGTAACTTTTAAGTCAAAAGCTTTATTTACATATACATGTAAATGAATGTATGAAAAAAGTCTGTAAGCTCGACAAAATTTAATAAATTTTTTCGAAATATAAACAATTATGCTTTACAGAATGTATTGATGATAAAAATAATTTCAAGATTGTTTATATAGTAATTGAAATTATACAAATCGTTATTAGTAAAATTATTGAATAGTTCACAAAATATATAACACTCTTAAGAAAATAAAACTAAGTTTGAATTTAATAGTAAATAAAATATGTTAATCATTTTTTATTGTTCAATATTGTATTAAAATTCAAAATCTAACGATCAAAATATATTTTTTTAATAATGTATGTTTACGAGATTGTGAATATTGACGCATGTTATTAAGTATCGTATTGAAATCAATAAATAACTTACTCATGGAAGATTTAAAATGATGTGGGCTTACGCAAGGCATACGAATAAATAAATAAATAGAAATTTCAAATATTTCCTTATGATTGCTAGAATTATTTGAACTCGGTACACGAAACAAATTCACTTATCCAATAAACGTCAAAGTAGCAGAAAGACGTTACTGTAGCAGGGACAAGTAAAGATGATGGTAAAGCACAAGAGGGGATTAAATAGGCCACGCTACAACTAATGAGATACGTTCGAAAATTTACCACCTATAAACAAGAAAAATACTCGCTAATATTCGACGTATTTCTATGAAATTGCTTATAGATAAAGAAAAATCGTTGATTGGCGTTTTCTTATTATCTTTCGATTTAATTTTAAGGTTTGTTTTAATTTTATTTTTTCTAATATCCGCTAAGTGGCAGTACAATACAATTGCCAAGCGAAAAAGAATCTATAATGTTTGATATCAATGACAGAATTTGGAGGTTGTTTTAAATAATATTTTGAATGTGTATTTGAAACTTTTAATTTCATTTAGATATCCATATAGGTATATCCAAATATTAGTATATATGTACTGATAACAAAAGTTAATAAAATGACTACGGAAAAAGATTTAGTAAATGGTATGCATTAGAAATTGGAAGCACTCTGTACCATTATGTACATAATTTTAGAAATACTTTTACATACATTACAATACATAAAACATAATTATTAAGATTTTGTTATGTTTCTTTAGCGGTAAGAGAATCTTTGGAAGCTAGTGGAGAACTTGGTCGTATAAGGGCTGAAATGCGAACTGAAGTTTTTAAATTATTAGATAATTCCAATTCAGAAAGTAAATTACAAAATTCGAAACAATCTTCTGATATTGTTATCTTTAACGAACTTGTTCGCGAATATTTAGATTGGATGGGATTTAAATATAGTTCAACCGTATTTGTTTCAGGTAGAAAAAATGTTAAATTATATCATTTGACTTATATTTTAAAAAATACAATGTTTAATCTATATTAATATTTTCATTGAAGAATGTGATCTTTCAAAACATCCTTATGATCGAACGTTACTAGCTCAAACATTGGGAATAAAGGAAACTGATACAAGTAAAAAGTTGCCCTTACTTTGTGGAATAATAGAAACATTAAAGCATATGAAAAATACATGAAAAATTTATATATGTATATTAAAGAAGTTTGCTTAGTAGGCACATTTATTTTTATATCGCATTTGTAGAACTTATGTATGATTTAAACATTAGTATTTGTTAATAATATATAGATACAAATTATAAAATGTTATTCATTTTACATATGAATAAAATTTGAATCTAAAATGATATATTTAATATTGCAGTAATCAAAATAAGTAATATTAATTAAGGTAAAAATACTTATATAATTTGAATGTTTTTCATTGCTTTCGCATTTATAAAAACTCCAACACATTGCTTACTTCATAACTTGTATTTATTTATCTCTTAAATTGTATTTTGTTGTACTGATTAAATTTTCTATTTTTAAGTGTATTATTATTATTTCTAATGAATACATAATCTGAAAATTTTTACATCATAATTATATTAAAGTACACATGAAAAATTATTAGGTTGTAATATGTAAATAAATTTTAAAAGGCATTAAAAGAATTTTTATTTTTTATTTTCTGATGTCTTATGTATATAGATATAATACATTATATATGTAATATATATCATATATTATATCATATATTATATCATATATTACATACATGATATATTATATATGAGATATTACACATTATGAAAGTACAATATAACATTTAGATAGCAGAAATCTTAAAGATAGGTTTTCTTAAGCAATACCATTATTGGAAATCTTAAGAATATTATAAGCTACTGACAGCTATAATGTACATCTCGTCTTATAAATGATATAAGGTTTTAATATTGAAATCAGAATATAATTACTTAAAGGCCATATAATATTACCAAATAGAAGGAAATGCTTCTTTTGTAAATATAATATTCTATTTATTCTGTATATGTTCATAAATTCGTTATGATCATAAAATTTGTTCGTTAATAAATAATTCATTGATAATTTGTATAGTTAATATTAATCTTAAAGCCCAAATATAACTTTTGAACTTCGTATTAATATTATATGCATAAAGCAAAAAGCAGTTATCTATTAAAGTTCATGGATATGCAGAGAACAATGCACTTTTGTCACTTTCGTCAATAATTTACGCAATTGTCAATGCATGTTTTAATTTTAAAAGATATTTATATCAACGAAAAAAATCTTTACTAATATCTCATCAGTAGTTGCCAAATTAACTAATGATGTCATTTATGTTTCGATTTTTTCTTCTTCTTAGATTGTTTATTTCTGCTTTTTGATTTTTTTGATTTTTTTCTGTGTTTTTCCTCATCACTACTTGTTTCAGATGAATCAGAATAACTGTCAGATTCTGAGCTACTATCTTTTTTAGTTGATTTCTTTTTTTTATGTTTCTTATGTTTCTTTTTCTTCTTTTTATGTGATTCGTCAGAACTATCAGTATCTGAACTCGTACTTTCAGAACTACTAGATGTATCTTCACTACTAGTAGATTTAGATCTTTTTTTCAAGGATTTTATATCTATATCCTTTTCTAATTCTGATTCTTCAAGTTTCAATTTTTTAGTAGGTAAATTTATAATTTTGCCGTCTTCGGTCTCAGATTCAGAATCAGATGCAGAGTAATCAGGTTCAAAACTAGATTCATCTAGTATGCTACGTTTACGATCAGAGACAAGTCTAGGATTCTTTCTTTGTTTCTTTAAAGATTCTATAAGAGGAGGTTCTGGATTCTCATAATTAATTTTATTTTCACTTGTTTCAACTTTTTCTTTCAAAATGACATTTTCTCTATGTTTTTGTTTCTTTTCTTGACTTTTATCTTTATCCTTCTTATGTTTCTTTTCTTTACGTTTCTTATGTTCTTTCGATTTACTACGACTACGATGTTCCTTCTTTCTCTTTTTATCTTCTCTTACTTTTTTATCTCTTCTTCTATCATCTTCATCATCTTTAGGTTTACCAAGACCCACTTTAGGTACTTCGTTTCTTTTAAATACAGATGGAGGTGTTCTACCTCTCCTTTCTCGTTCTCGATCTTTCTCCCTATCTTTATCTGATCGTTCTCCTTTTGTTTCACTTCTATTCGATCTAAAATCTTGCCTTGAATCCATCCTCGTATCTCTTAATTCATGCCTCTCATGTCTGAAATCATTTCTATCTCTTGAACGTTCACCTCTTTCTTTATCTCGTTTTCTTTCTTCGAGAAATACTTTACGATCAGTACTTGGTATACCTAATGAAGAATCAACTCTTCTCTCCATAAGTGGTGATATTCTTTTATCTCTTGTACTTTTTGGAGATCGACTTCTAGACTGATTTTCATTTTTCGTTTCTCGTCTATCTAAAAAGCTTTTAATAGGACTAATTTTTCTCTCTTTATTATCTTCGACTTTATCTCCAAGTCTCTCCTTAGCGGATAAACGCGTTGGAGAATAAGTCTCTGGGACTGGTTTAAATTTAGTTCTGTCGATTTTTGCTTTTTTCAAAGGTTCTGTAATTTCTACATTTCTTTCATTTCTACCAACATTAATAGTTACATTAACACTTTTTCGCTGTTCTCTAGTTGGTTCTGGTTCAAGTACTTTTGGCTCTGGATTTTGATATAAAATCTTTCTACTCTCGCTAATCTTTTTTATTTCTATTGGTCTTATCGCATTAATAGCTTTTTGAAATATGGCATTTTCAGCTCTTTTTAAAACTTCCGAAGTAACTACTTTCATTGATTTTGGTTCATCTACTTGCATTTTGTCCGTAGGAGATTCACATACATCGTCAGATTTTTCTATTGTATCATCTCTTTCCCACTTTGAAAGTTCTGGTACAGGGGCTAAAAATTCATCTTTCTTTGGCGATTTTTCTTCACATATAGTAGTCTCTTTATCCTCTACTTCATTTTCTGATAATAAAGTATATGTTTCTGTAATTACTGTATTTATTTCTGTGTCATCCAAACCACTATAAAGATTATCTATTGGTTTAATATCTGATTTTAATTCAGGTATGGGTTTAAAATTAGGATTGGGTGGATTTGTACCAAATTCTGTGTGTTCCAATCTTTCTGGACTAGGCTCATTATATTCAGGTGGTTCTGGATTCATAGCTAAAGATTTATCTTCAAATTCTTCTTTTGAAGAAACTATGGATTCATTAGGTATACATTCAATTCTATTATCTATATTATCCTCTTCGTTATTTGGTTTTACAGTTTCAATTTTAACAGGTGAAGTAACTTCTGGTTTACTTTCTATAAACGTAGTATCCTCATTTTCCGTCATTTTAATTGGCTCCTCTTTCATTACCTCCTTTTGCCCTGATTTCTTTTCCTTCTTCTTTTTCTTCTTCTTTTCTTTTTCATCGCTATCTTTCTTCTTTTTCTTTTCTTTTATTTTCTTTTCTTTTTTCTTATCTTCTATTTTTTCTTCATGCTCTTTTTCTTTCTTTCTCAGTCGTTCAGGCGATGTATCTTTTGCTTCGCTTTTGCACTTTTGCAAATAGGGAGTTGGACTCTTCCTATTCTTCTTTCTTTCTGTGGATCGCCTTTCATATCTATCATGACGATCCCGATCTTTTTCAGGATCATAATCTCGATCACGTCTATCTTTATCTCGAATACGATTTTTGTCTTCAACTCTGTGACGATCTCTTTCATCTCTGTAACTGTAAATATATATATATAAAATTATATTACGTAATCATGTAACTGTATACATTATGATATTTATGCGAGGTGTGTGTGTGTGTTTATGTATACAAATTTTATTTAAAATAATAATTATTAATTGTGATATGATTTTCTGATAAATTTGTCAAATGTATCCTTAAAAACTGTAAATAGATTCGCGAGAAACATACCGATCTTTATCATAATCTTTCTTTTCTACGTGTCTATCTTCGTCACGTCGATCACGAGGATGTCTATCATCGCGATCTTTTTCTTTTTCACGTCTATCTCGATCATCTTTTTCTCGTATTCTGTCATCATGGTCTCTTGGTAATGCTGGTCTATCACGATCTTCTCGTTCTCTATTTACAATTCTTCTATCTCTATCTTCTCTTGTACGATCATCGCGTTCACGAACTCTGTATAAAAATATATATAAATAAACTAGATACTATTAAATTTTTTCTTTTGTATTAATTTTTTCTTTTATATTTCTATTTGAAGCATTTTACCTGTCATCTCTAAATGCCAATCTATCACGATCTTCAGTATCATGATCCTTTAATGAATGTTCACGATCCTCTTGATCTCTTAATATACGAGTTCTTTCGCGATCTTCTCGTAAAGGTCTATCCAAATGTTCAACACCTGGAGGAGAAAGATCATAATAACCTTCGGTTCCTGGTGGTGCAACATCATCAAATCGTTTATGAGATGAATCTCGAAGTGGACTACCAAAACGTTGAGAAGGTCCGGAATATCTGTTGACAAAAAGTAAAGAAAATTGATCATGCATCTATTACATAATAAAAAGAAATACGATAATAGTTTTGATATGTCAAAGTAAAAAAATTAGTATATATACAAATTTTATATACCCTTAATATTTTCGCACATTCACTAATACCTTTTGCTTTAGAAGTCATATATAAATTTAGAAGTGAATTATGTTAACCTGGTTAAAAATAATCACAATGTCATGTTAAGTATAAATATGTCTTTATCTCATCCAGAGAATTATTAAAATCATAAACTTAATTTTAACAGTAAATGCATAAGGATAATATATGTAAATTATTTCTTTTTAATTATCATTATTTTCCATATTCTTCTCCATTTTGTTAAGTACTTTATTAAACTTTTAATAATACAAAACTTTAGATAACAGATGAAAGGTGTTGTGTTGTAACTGACAATAAATTAAGTATTTAAAATAAGATATCACAAAATCATTTCATCCACATTTGAAAAATTTTTTTTCAAAGCCAAAATATTCTAGAAAGTATAACAACTCAGAATAATATATTAATCAAACTTTATAAATAATAGAATAAATTATCATAAAAATACATGAAATGATTAAACCAACATTTATAACTTTTTGTACATGTTAAGTGCAGCAAGGGAAATACATAGGTATTATATCAGATATGCAGTATTCACTAGTATTTCTCTGTAAAATAAATTTACTCACCAAAATATAATTAATTATAGACTTATTTAAAAATTATATAAAAGTCAGCCAGATTGTAAGTTTTATCATGATGGTAATCTATGTTTCACAAACATTTTTTACATGCTCAATAATACCTCTTGCTTCAAGCACTGCAATTTAACAAAAATACAGATGTTTCTTTTAGATTGTTACAAATGTTGATTTGGCCCTGAATTCACCTGATTCAGAAACCATGTAGACGTGTCAATCAGCTGGGTAGCTTCTGCAATCTCCAAGATGGTCCATGTTGATTAAATTTTTCCTTACTTCTTTCTTCTTCTTTCACTTTTTGATTTTATATATTCTTATTTTATATAACAATTTTAATATATATATATATATAATAACACATTGTATACATGCAATGAAATGACAATGATTAAATTAATGGTGACATGTGTAGCTTCATGGAAAATAATAGTTTATGTTATACATATAAAATAATATTTTATAAATTTAATTTAATAAAATAGAACATATATATGTTCAATAAAATTACACAAAAATTAGCTATGAAAAAGAAATGTAACAAACTGTTGTTTGTTGTACATAATACTCAATTTTAACATTATTCAATTTTCCTAGAAATGTATGTCAAAGTAAAATTATATAGAATAACTTAATACAGTATCTTAACTAGTATATAAACTATAAATATGATCTTTAAATATATATATATATATTTTTATATATATATATATATATATATGCACACTATAGATAATAACATAGATATAATTAAGATTCAAAGCATATAACACTAGTTATTGTAAATTTATACAAATGAAATTAGATATTTACTAATTTCATATTTCTTATAAATCTCTAATAAGTCGACTTTTTTATATATAATATAAAATTAAATATATTAAATATTTAGAATAGAGGCAATGTCAGATTTATATACAAAATATATACTTAAGTAATTTTTTCAAAATTTTTTTAATTTTTTGTAGAATATATAATCGAAAAAGTCATTATATTTCATAAACTCCTATTAAATATATTAGTTATATATAGTATTAATAATGTTACCCAATTATATATTCTTCAATTAACAAAGTTAATAAAATAGATAATATTAATTTCTTAAATATAATTAAATATTTAACTCTAAAAGTTTACTAATTATTCCTATATAGAAAATTTTATAAAGAGAAACATATAATAATATAAAATTAAATAATTAATAAATATATAAAATAGCAACAGTAAAAAAATGGTGGCATTAACAATCTCAGTGTCATGATCCCAAATTTTAGTTCTAATTCAACTCATAATATAAAACGTTATTGATCAATGATTATTAATAATGCATATATGTTCTTTCCATACAGTTCTTTAAAAAGACATATAGCATCATATCAAAGAAGTCAATATATCACTAAATAAAAAGCTGTTAATATACTTTTCATAACAGATATGAAAATATATAAACTATCTTTCAGTGTTTAAATAAAATCATTCTTATAAATCTAAAAATGTTTAGAATACAGGATCTATTTCATACGTAACATTCTAAAAAATTTTTATCGTGTTTTAATAAAAATACGATATAGTATACATTGTGCCTTACAACAAAAAATACAACAAAATGATACAACAGAATATATATGTGCATTATGCACACGCGCGTACACACATTTTGTCATTCATGAATCTAATAACATTCCTTGTAAAATATAACATTTTTACTTACTCTGACATTTTCATAATTCAAACAAAGATTTTTTTGTAAGTACCTTGTAGTTTATAAAATGTCTCAACTTTATAAAAATTTAATTTTAATAACTTTCTTAGGCATATTATCACAGTTTAGAATATAATCACAGATCTAGTAAATTCTTTAGAACTTAACTGCATTGTTACTTTTTAAAAAATAGTTTTTCAAAAATTAAAATGGACATAATTTTTATAATAGTATATATATAATGAACTTATATTCATTAAAATTTTATAAATAAGCTTTATATTAAATATTTTGTACTATATTTACTGCATCATATATTTTTTTGTTGAAATTAATATTTAAAAAAAGAATTCTTCTTAAATAATAAATACATCTCAATATACAAGTAACATGTTCTATCTTATAAATATTTTTAACTTTTGTTGTAGATATTAAAGTTTGTATATATTAATATATGATTAAGTTTTTGTTTTGAAAAAATACTATATTAACTATATCACTGTATACAGATCCTACTTTAAACAAAATTTATAGATATAGCAGGATAAATATACAGTAAAATACTTGAAGAATGTTGACAGCACATGTATGTACACACACATGAATTGGCAATTCACGTAATAATATTAACTGGCAATAGACTATAAAGTATAAAATAATATACACTGAATGAAATATTAATTCTTATTATCTTTAAAAATGAAACTTTACTCTGTTTTTCTTATTTTTGATAATAATAAAATTATGTACAATTATACGTATAACGACTTGTATTAATTTATCAACACTTTTTTCATAACAAATGATTTTCTACGTTACCAGTATTGCATAGCGCATAATGGTAATACAAATAAATATGCGTATTTAGAATAATTACACAAGTTTGGATTAATTCAAAATAAAGTTATCACAAATAAAATCTATGTTACCAACTATTATAAATAACTAGATTGATATATATATATATATATATATGTATATATGGTACGTATCAGACTGTCATGTAAATATATAAAAAAATGATATGTTGACATAAATAAACGATTATTGAAGTAACTTATATATTGAATCTACCAAACTTATGTTTGAACCCATATTTATTATGTGCAAAGTGCACACACACGTATATGTATATAAAAATATATTTGAACATTTTTATTATTATTTGAATAATAAAAATGCTTAGAAAGCTATTGCATACATAAATTGTAAAAAATGTGATCATAAAATTACTAAAATTGCTTGTGCTCTATTAGTAAAGTACTCAAAATCATTGTACGATTAGAACAACAGCATAAATATGTTGATAGACGATTTGCTTAACATATACATGTATTAAAATACTATTGAGGCGAAAATACCTGTTGTAGGATTCATAATAGTCTTTCCTGTCCGAAGGTGGAGGTCCCAATGACATAAGTGGTGGTGGGTGACCTCCAGTGACTAGATGAGGCAACAACGGCGGTATGTTATGCTGGGATGGTTGATTTCTTATTGGATATCTAGATACTGGTCTGTCTCTAGGTGGTAAGTCACGCTCTCGATCTCTGAACTGATATTCATGCGCCGGAGATTCATTATAATAACTATTGTATCCATCCCGGGGTTCTCGTGATCGAGGACGTTCTCTTTCACGATCTCGATCTCTTTGAAATCTGTAAATAAAACAACATAGATTTTTTATTGTAATAACATAATAATAAATAGTAAGAAAAAATTTAAAAACATGTTTTTAAATATAAAATAAATAAGAGCATACCTTGGAGGTGATCTTAATGGCGATCTATATCTGGGTAGTATTTCTCGATCTCGATCTCTATCGCGATCTCTATCTCGTTCTCTATCACGTTCACGATCTCTTTCACGATCTCTTTCTCTCTCTCTTTCTCTGTCCCTATCTCTGTCACGATCGCGATCACGATCGCGATCACGATCACGATCACGATCACGATCTCGATCTCGATCTCGATCTCGTTCACGATCACGATCACGATCTCGTTCTCTATCCCGATCTCTATCCCGATCTCTATCCCGATCTCTATCTCTATCTCGGGGAATAGACAATCTAGGAGATTGACTTCGTGAATATGATCTTGATCTACAAATAAATTAAATAAGTATTTGTATTATAAACAATATGTTAATTCTAATAACAATGTCGCATTAATTACCTGCTAATAGAGAAACTGCCACTTCTTGATCTACGTTTCGGAGTACGACTACGTCCTCTTAATGGTAATGGAGATCTTGATGATCTTCTTTTAGCAGGACTTCGAGATCGACTTATACGACCCGTAAATGGCGATCTACGACTAAAAGAACGTGATCTAGATCTGGTGTAGCTACGAGATCTTGATCGTGTTCTACTTCTTCTCCTATGTTTTCCAAGCCTTCTATCTCTTTCATCTTTCTCTCTAAGCATTCTCTCAAACGCCTCCAATGGATCGTCAATAATACTAATTAATAATAAGAAGAAAATTATAATAGATTATAGATCTAAAATATAAAGATTAAGTGAATTTTAAATTACCCAGGTGGATTTCCATTATGTACATTTCTCCCCAATCCTGGTGGTGGTGGTTGTATTCCCCTATATCCAACTAAATCGAAATTCATATAGTGACCATTGGAATAAAAAATATATAACACTTAATTAAGTGTAACTGCATGAAGAATAAGTATATACAGTAAGCCATGATTAATCAACATGATCGAAGAATAAATGACACAAGAAAATCAAGCCTCAACGGATAATTGAGTGTAATTATTTAAAACACGTTTCTTGTATGCAAAAAAAAAATGTTTTTTGTGTTGTTCTTTTTTTTAGTAACATAAATATGTTTATGCATATACTGTACATACTTGTACATATAGTGTATTAAATATGTATTGCAAAATAACATTTATATGTATGAGATATAATATCACTTACTATGATGTAATCCACGAAGAGGTCTTGGTGGCCCGTTAAAATTACGTGGTGGTTGAGATGGTCTGTATCCTGGTTGCTGATAAGGTGGTCTTTCATACCTTGGTGGACCATAATGAGAGCCTTGTTGATGAGGATAAATTGGTATACGATGTGTCATATATGGATCTGGTAGAAGTGGAGGATTATGTGGTTGTGCATTAGGTGGAGGCTGATTATAATTTGGTTGTGGAATGCGATCTTCCCCCGGTGGGAATGGTAATAGAGGTGGTTGATTTCCGGAAGCAGGAACGTGTAAATGGGGTTCATCAACCTATAATTGTAAAAATTTCGTATAAATATAATTTTACATTATATAATACCAATAACTTAAAACCGGTATAATTTAAAGAATTTTAAAAACAGTGCATGTTAACAATATTAATAACTGTTATAAAAAATTTGACTCTTTTCCTCCTTCCCTTAATGTACTGATTTCTTATATTTCGGTAAAATTCCCTGCATAATATGTGCCAAAATAATAATAAAATATTTATATATATTGAACATACAGTTGGAGTTCCAGGTCGATCTTCTGTTGATCTTCGCATTCCACTATCATAATGCATAGTGGATGAGTAATGTCCATCATCTGGTGGCATTCCCTGATAATTTTTAGAAGGAGGTTGATTCATTACATGTGGTGGTAATGTTGTTCCCTGAGATGAATATTCACTGTGTTGAGAGTGTCTAGGTGATAAAGATCGCCTACGGCTCACTGTCCGTAAATTTTCCATCCTGCGGCCACGTTCTCCACTTCTGTAATTTCCAATATATATATATAATCCAATCTTAAGAAAAAATGTTATACTATACTGCAATACTTTTCTATAATATTACTTATATCTTATTCACAAACCTTTCACGATGACCATCTCTACTAAAACTTCTTCGTCTTTCTCTTGATTGTCTTTCTCCACTATTATAGTCATTGTCACGATCTTTTTTATCACGACTAGGAGGATCACTTCGTTCACAATCTCTTTCTGGTGAACTACCAATAGCAGGAATAGGTAACAATGGTTCTGTTCCTGGTGGCGGTGGGACCTCTGCTTCTTCGTCGGTTGTTAATTTTGTTACCGAATCGCTTTGTAAATCTGATTCAGAATTTGATTCAGGAAGTGCTATGATAAAAAGAAATAATACAAAATAAAGTTGATGATATATATATAAAATAAAAACATTTATATAATATTATGTGTGTAATAACATTATATTAAATTATATTACTAAACCTTTAAACAATATTTATTCTGATGTTATACAAAGATACAGAGATATGAACTTTACATTTAGCTGATGATTGAGGTTAGGTACAATAATATATCAGCTGGTAAAATAAATTTTGAATCGCACGATTATACTGTATTACATTTAGAGTCTATAAAAGAAACACTGATATAACATTAAATAAGCACGATTTTTTGATGGCAACATACGAAAATATATAATATTTAAAGAAGACTCATCACGCACATCAATAATGGCGGCTCCATTACTTTTGCGTAAGAATTAAAATTAAAGGATAATAAAATTTTTAAGAAAATTTTCTTCCCTCTTCCCCCCTTTTTCTTGTTGCTATTTCTTGCGTTAATAATATATCATTAATACATTTTGTTAAGTAAAAATCCTTATATATGATTTTAATAAAGGTTAAGTAAAAGAATTAATTATAAATCCATACAAGTTTAACTTTTAAATATAAGTTCTATTGATATATTGTATATTTATATTTTTCTCCATTTTTTTTATAAGAAAAAGTATAAATAAAAATTAATAGTTTTATTAACTTCATTATCTGCGATTTGTAATGTTAATTTATTTTTATTAGTCAATTAAATCATGCAATAAAAATTATATCTTATCAGATAATCGATATAAACAGAACATAAATACATAAAGAAAAAAAAAGATAAATACTTACTTGTGGTTTGTGGTTGTGCGCTAGTGGATGGTAATTGTTGTGGCAAAGATTCAAAATTAACAGATGGTTCAACATATTCTGCCGATGTATTACCAGCACCAGATGTTTGAGCACCTTTAGGTTGACCAGTAACTTGTACAGTAGATGGTTGTATTTCAACTTTTGGTGGTTCTGGTTGCACTGCCGGTTGATTAATTGGAACAGGTCTATATGTCTGCCTTTTAGCATATCCAGTTTCATTTTTGAAATTCATTACTGCATTACGTAAAAATCGATTTGGTATGAGCGTTTCTGGTGAAACATCTTTTTCATTACAATCTGGACATTCATGTTCTTCAGATTCTAATAAAAATGTTCGAATACCTGTTACATAAAAGAATTATTATCGTACAATAATACATATACTATAAAATGCTTTCATATATTTATAAAAAAAAGTGAATTTACATTCATCACAAAAAGAATTCCCACAGCATGGTATCATTACTGCATCGGTTAATAAATCCTTACAAATGTTACATAGTAGATCTTCTGGTATTTCTAACTTTTCTACGATAGGCTCAGGGTCTTGAGAAAATGGTGGTTTTTCTTTTTTACCTTCTTTGTATGCTTGACTAAAATAATTACAATTATCATTATTTTACAATGCTACAATGAGCCTATTTCTTAATTAGAAACTTACTGATCAATAGCAGGAACAGCATATTGCCCTGTAGGTGTCATCATTGCACCTGGTACTAACGGGCCTTCAACTGGTACCATAAAGCTCCTAGGAATTCCTGTACTCTTCTTAATTTCAATTGGCTCTTGGTTCGTACCAAGAGGACAATTTTTTATCCAATGTCCAGGTTGATGACACTTATAGCAACGATAGTTTGTAGGTACATCTCCTGTTTGATTTGCACCACGTATTTTCATATAGCTAATAAAATAAATATAAATCTTTATAAATATCAATACTTGAAATAAGTATATTTTAATAATATTACATATATATTTAATAAATTGATTCCTAAAAATACTCTTAATTGTTTTTATATGTTAAAAATTTACAAAACATTTATACTGGCTATACCAAATAAAAATATCAAAATATAGAGATGATATTATATGTTATTTTTATAATTTTATTAAAAATTTCATATACATACTTTGACGGATCATAATCTTGAGTCGATTGAGTCATCATAGCTCGAATTTTATCTTCCTCCGATCCATCAAGCCTAGTAAGATCTACGGTACGTCCCAAATTGGCTTCATCTTTTAAATTACTGAATGGAGGTGTTTCATTTCGATCCCAAGATCTTTTTTGCTGAATTGTTAATGGAACTCTAGCAACAATAAGGCTAGTGTTCTTTGCTATTAATGCATTATCATCAGTGTAATCTAAAAAACGAAATTCTCCTATAATTATGCTAATCTTTGAAATTCAATAGTAAATACAACAAAATAAGAAAAATATTAAAAAGAATTACCTTCTTTTGTTTGAGCATTTGTTATTTGTAGATCAAAATCAGTATTTTTTCCAATACGTTTCTGATGAAAAATAGCTTTCTTAAGATCTGCCACAGAAATATGAAGTCCATCAAAAGAAACTGTATCATAGTCCAATGTAGACTTAAACTTATAATGGACTGACATCTCGGATTTATTTTTATCCTATGGACATTAAATAAAAGCAAAGAATTCAAATATAAATAATATATTTTTAGTATTTTTCTAAATACTTCTATAAAAACAGTTATTAATTTTTCATTTTTCTAAACAAAAATGTATACAAAATATATATTACATATGTTGGACTTCACATACTTAAGGATAGTATACTTTATATATATTTCTAACTGCATATGGGTACAATGTGTAACATAATATGCTTATACAAAATTGTTACAAATAAAAAAAAACATAAGATAAAACTTTTGATCAATCAATTTATACATTATTCGAATAGTCTTCTAAAGCCTCTTAAATAGAATGCATATAACATACAGCGCATATAGACATAAAGTACTAAAGAATTTTATAATTCTAGTAAAGAAGCATTAAACTGATAGGAAAAATTTTCAATTTGTCTATCATATCTAATACTAACATAATAATCAATTATAATTTTTATGTAGGTTAGATAATTATAATATAATCACCTCATGTGTACAACAAATTTCAAAATAAAATATACATAAGTAATAATATATATTTATTAATTAGTTGGAATTGTAATTAAGATTCGAAATTTATAAAAATTTATAAAAGATTACAATCAACGACATAGATACGTAAATTATGATATCGTGATGTTTTGATCAAGGATGAATAAACACAAAACATAGTATTTCGAGTATCTATATAAAATATTACTATATTAAAATAATAAAACATTGATGAAACGTATAATAAACTATAATATATTACCTGAAATCAAATTTGTCCTCACATTACGAAGACAACAATACAATACGAACACCAAAAACGCGAAGTGGACAATTCGACCGTACCTGGTAAGGGTAAAAAATAATCATTTAATAGATAGGACAATCGGTCTCACCGTAGGTACTAATATTAATTATAAATATATCTCAAAATTTCCTCTTACGTTGAAATTCTCTGCTGGCTTTTACATAAACATGTACAGAATTATTTTAACGAAATAAAATATTTAATAATCATTTCGCTTCATTGATGAGTACTTCCGTTTAATGAGTTATATATTACCACAAAAATTCCCTAGTTTTCAAAAGAGAGGGAGAGGAAAATAGAGTGTAATTGCATTTTCAAGTAAAATGTAACCCATAAGCATAGAAAAAGCTAAAACTATGGAGGATAAAGGTAAGTAGTAACATCTCTGTATATGAAAAGTGTCCGTCGAAATGCATTCAACAGGGTGGCGCCACAGTACGTAGAGTGTCAATTTTAAAGAAAGCGCCAAATATTATTACAGTAGGATTGAGAAATAAACAAGGAACACAAATTTTACCCATAACTGTTTTGTTATTCACATACTTTTTCATAAAATTATATGATAAAAAATCAATAAACGTACTATTCAGATTCACGAAATAAAATCACTCTAGCTACACGTTTTCTCATAATAATTCTTTAAGGTTATATTTAATACATTATTACATATCTCGGCATACTTCAATTCGTTTAAAATTGATACACTCATACCACACCTCTACGTTCACAAGCGCCATTCTGGAAGGTTATTGAACTGTTATTTATAGGAAACGCTCGAAACTTTTTCACATTTTCTCCCTTAAGAGATATTACTCCTTACCTTTACCCACAAAACGGAAAACTTAATTTTACATGAATTAAATTTACTTTTATAGAATGACGCTAACGTTTCAGATCGAAGACAAAGTAATTAAGGTTTAGAGTGTCGATAGTACCTGATAGATGGTATTATTGTAATATTATTTTAAATTTTATCAGATATTATTAATAAAAAATAAAATATACGATCATTTTGGATATTACTAAAACATAAAAACTATGATTAACATTTTTATTGTCACAATATTATCTTCCATATGATTAGTAAAAAAATTGGATACTTAATTCTTGTATAAGAAATAGAATCTACCAATAGCAAACCAGTTCATCTTATTTTTATTGGATAGTACTCATAGTTATATTAATTCTGTCCAATTAAAATTTTACCTTATCTTAGATTTTACAATTTGTAAGATATCTTTTTAAAGTAAAATTACATAGTTTAAAAACGATTGGAAAAACTTAGGAAAAATTATATTTTATGAGTTTTAATTTTGCAAAAAAGACACTGTGTGGAATAAAAATGTCGAAATATAGTGAAATATTAACTCAGGTAGAAACAGCAAACTTGAATTTAAACGTTTTATTAGACGAAGTGTCAAAGATGAGAGGTAATTCTTTATAAAAATCTGTAACATTAAAATGGATATATTTATTTATATATGAATATATTTAAATTATTTAAAAAATATTATATTTCAGTTAGGTGTGCCCAAATGCAGTTGGACATCTTATCACTGTATAAACCGCAGTGTTTACAAATACTTGAAATGTTAAAAACAGTAGAATATAATCAAAATGCTTTCATTGAAATTCCTTCTGTAGAAGAATTACATTTGTTATTCAATAATACATCATAAATTATTGAAAGTAACTGTTTAATTCAAATATTTAAAATACAAATAGATATTGTTTATATAATTTAGTTTATTCGTATTCAAACTGTTCTTTATGTTTAGATCAAATATAAATACAAGAAAGGATATTTTTGTTGAAATAAATTATATTCAGATTACAGGGTTTATAGGTAAAATATAATTATCACATCAATATAAATGAATGATTAAATATCATAAAAAATGTAAATAATTTATATTATAATTCATACTTTTAATTTATTTTAACAAATTTCTCATTATAAACGTTGATGTATTTTTATGTTCTTTATTAATGAAAAACTGATAATAAATTTAAATAACAAGAAAATTCGTACTCGGTTTGTATGATTCTTATCGGGTTATACTATACGCCGTTTAAAAGATGACATTTTAAGCTACATTCTTTATGAAGACAGTTTCGCAATTCGTCGTGTGTGTCAAAAATTATATTCCATTGAAAATGAGTGAAATTTCCGAAGAAATACGCTATGTGATGCTTTATTACTATAAAAAAGGCAAAAACATGCCGAAAAATTTGTATGGTTTACGGTGAGGATGCTGTAAGTGAACGTCGCACACAAGAATGGTTTGCTCGATTTCGTTTCGGAAATTTCGATGTCAAAGATGCACGACGCTCTGGTCGGCCAATCGTCGAAAATGCTGATAAAATCATGGAATTAATTGAGGTAGACCGTCATGTGAGCATTCGATCGTTAGCCCAGGAACTAAATACCACTCATACAACCGTTTTGAATCATTTGAGTAAGGCTGGATACAAAAAAAAAGCTGGATGTTTGGGTGCTACACGACTTAACGCAAAATAACCTTTTTGATCGAATCAATACATGCGATACACTGCTGAATCGCAATAAAATCGACCCATTTCTGAAGCGGATAGTGATTGGTGATGAAAAGTGGATCACATAGATGACAATGTAAAGCGTAAAAGATCGTGGTCGAAGGCCGGCGAATCATCCCCAACGGCGGCCAAGTCCGGATTAACGGCCAAAAAGGTTTTACTGTGTGTTTGATGGGATTGGAAGGGAATCATCTACTATGAGCTGCTACCCTATGGCCAAACACTCAATTCGGACATATACTGTCAACAACTGATCAGATTGAAGCAGGCGCTTGACCAGAAACGGCCAGAATTGGTGAATAGAAAGGGTGTTGTGTTCTATCAGGACAACGCTAGACTGCACACATCTTTGACGACCCGGCAGAGACTCCGGGAGCTTGGATGGGAGGTTATATCACACCCACCTTATAGTCCGGACCTGGCACCAAGTGATTACCACCTTTTCCGGTCCATGCAAAATGCTCTTGACAGTACTAAGCTGCCCTCAAAAGAGGCTTGTGAAAATTGGTTGTCTCACTTTTTTGCCAATAGGGATGAGAGCTTCTATGAGAGAGGCATAATAAAATTACCTTCAAAATGGCAACAAGTTATCGAACAAAGCGGTGCATATTTGACCTAAATCGGTTTATTCATTCTTTGTAAATTTAAATTTGAAATAAAAATAAATTTCCGCGGATACTTTCTTTCCAATCCAATATAAAGATAGGATTGAGTAAACATACTTCTGTAAATTTAAATTTTTTTTGATAAAGTTTACCAACTAAATCAATCTAGTTTAGCTTTAACCCTTTCGCTTCCAGCGCCGCTTATAAGCGGCGTACGCGATATGACCTGTAAGTACTAGTGCCGCTTATAAGCAACGTACGCGATATGACCTGTGAGTACCAGTGCCGCTTATAAGCGGCGTACGCAATATGACCTGTGGGTACCAGCGCCGCTTATAAGCGGCGTGTACAATATGACTTGAAGGTACGATGATAAAAGATCTGACTCACGATACGAGTATAAAGAGTGTGATGTTGGCTTATGTATAGATCTGTGCTTCAAAATTTATCATACGTACTTATATTACTAATCACTTTACATTAATATAATTACTTGTTTGCGGATCATAAATAATTCATAATTAAAATATTACCTATAACTTTGTACGTTATAAATGTTTTCTTATCAAAAATGTAAATTATACTCATTATATTGTAGCAAAGATTGTTTTATTCGGCATAATAGTAATTTAAGACTCAGGAAAACATATATACAGCAACAACGCATACTGGACTTATTCGCGGCGCGCGTCTCCGTTCAGTGACAGTACTTCGGCGGACTGGACAGGGTTAGCGAAAGGGTTAAACTAACGTTATTTTAAATATTAATATTGTTACATCTATGAAATATTGTAAATAAAACTAGTATGACTCAAATTCGAAAAGTAAACAGTAATTTATAAAACTTGTTTAATATTGTTTTTTTACAGTTTTATCAACCCCTTAAAGCAGTTTTTTTTTTTAAACTGGCCCAAAAAAATCAATTTTTTTTATGTAAAAAAATACAATTAAGAAGTCTTCGCAAAAAAATAAATACAAAATTAATCAAAATTTTTATAGCAGCATAGAATAAAACGCCGTTCGAGTTAACTCGAGCGGGATTAACTTAAAGGGTTAAACTAACATTGTAGTTTTTTCGAAACCACTCGTTTTTTCACTTATAATATTATCATCATAAGTATTTTAGAGCATTCGATGAGTCTAAGCAGCAGAATTCTTTATATTGTTTATTGTACGACACCTATGATCTTTTTTTTTCGACTACTTCTTACTCTTAAAGCCACTTGTAAAATAACGGTGGAAACGAGTCATGGCCGACTCATCAACGGAGGTAGAAAATAAAATTTGTTTATAATACAATAGTAAATATATTCGTATTAATTCTAAATACTTGACAATAGTTTATATGTTGGAAAATAACATAGATATGACCTAACAAGTTAAAAAAAAAAAAAACACATCTATGTATTGTTTTCTTTTACAAATACGCAATCGCTGAGGCAATGCTCAACAGTTTTCTGTCACGTCAATAGGATTACATGGATTACACTGATCGTCATGCCAGTCTAATGGCAGAAATAATTATTAGTTTTTTCTTACGTTTTTAGAAGACGGATAATGTTACAAATTGCCTGTATCGTTCATTCTCCTGTATTTCTATTTCCGTCGACACACATTCGAATTATATTTGTTCTACCTGCATTTTTCCATTATTATTGTGTTACATGCCATAAAGGGATAGAAAATCGAAAGTACTAACTGTTCGGTATCAAATCCTTTATAGACCATAAATCTTATATTTTGTACACAAAATATCGTACAGAAACCATCTTGTATACTTGAATACAATAAAATGATGGGTACTGTGGACAAGATCGACATGGTCATCAGCACCATACATTTTACGAGAAAAACGATGAAATAGTACAAGAAGTATTTTTTTCATATGATCGACATGTGTCTGTGGAACTTATATTATTTATATAAATTAAAAACGGTTAAAACACTTTCAATTGCAAAATTTCAATTAAAATTGATCGACCGAATTTTACAATCATTCTGCCGGTAGTCCTTTATAGTAGCGAAACATGGTCGTTTACGTTACGGGACGAGAAAAAATTTAGGGTTTTCGAAAACAAAGTTCTTCGTAAAATCTTCGGTGCAAAACGCGATGAGAAAACGGGTAAATGGAGAAAACTCCATAACGAAGACGTACATCGATTGTATAACAAACCGGACATTATTGACGTCGTAAAATCACGCCGATTAAGATGGGCTGGTCACGTGGCACGCATGGGGAAGGATCGAACGGCGCATAAAATATTGGTCGTTATACCAAACGGGGAAAGACCACTAAGTAGACCTAGACGTAGATGGGAGGATAATATTAGAAGGAACCTAAAAGAAATAGGATATGAAGATCGCGAATGGAAGGATCGCGCTCAGGGATGGGAACAATGGCGGGATTTGATATTTGCGGCAATGAACTTTTGAGTTCCTAATGCCAATTATAATAATAATAATAATAATAATAATAATAATAATAATAATAATAATAATATTTATTCGAATTAGTATAATAAAGGCAATCTTAAAAAAAACAGTGTACATTATTTCATTGAATTTCTCTACTTTTGAATTTATGGAGTTAATCGATTAGTGCATTGAACGGCTCATATATTTTCCTCCGAAAATGGATAAAAATCAGTACAAGTGGTAAAAAATAAAATACGAACGGATTTTGTAATTTTCCTCATGAATATTGAAATACGTTCCGTAAATTAAATGTTAACGATAATACTATTATTTGTTTACACAATTATAACGCAATTACACGGGATTCCCTTTTCGTAGACTATGTATTTATTTACAGATTTTTGAATACAATTTTTAATAACTGTTAATAAAGGTTTTTTTATTATAATTTTCTTATGTTGTTATATTTTCTGATATTCTATAAACAAATAAACATTTATTAACATATTAACATGTAATTTATAGACACGGTTAAATAAATATATAAATCTAATGTGTACAATCTATAACCACTTTTGTTTATATTATATTCTAACATTTAGAATAGTAAAAAATTAGTTATTTTTCCATTTGACTGAAGGAATACGCAAAGCATTCGTAGCATAAAAATACTCTTCTGATTGTGGTTGAAGTTTGTTTTTATATTCCAACAATGCTGTTTTATCACCTTGCTCCACAAAAATCTAAAACAATATCTGTTGATAAGTATACAGTTTTTGTAAAACATACGCTCATAATCGTGACAATGGACATTCCGTCAATAAATCGAAAAAATTAATTTTATGATTTATTTTATATTACAATTATTTATAATATAAAATAAATTATAAAATTCATTATTTTTTTAATTTTTTAATTTAGTTCAATGGCATAATTATTGACACATATATAAATATATTATTATTATTATTATTAATAGTACATACATCTATAGCTATTCGGTAACAGTTGAAAGATTTTGCTAGCTCTAATCGTTTATCAATAATGTCTACATATTTTAAATATTTTTCAATAACGTTTAGTGGTGCATGTTCTTTATACAGCAATTTAATAATATCTTCTACTGGTAGAGATGTTTGTAACTTTATATTTCCACGCCAACCCTGTATTAAACAAACAAAATTAATTTATGACATGTCATCATATGATTTATCATTTGTCACATTTATTTATTAAAATATGAAATTGTTTATATTAAAATATAATTACTTTAGTTAAAAATATATTATCAATGGATTCCCATTCTCCAAGAGATGCTTTAACCTTTATTATAATTTTATGATATTGCTCAAGTGATACATTATGTTGCTGAGAAAACATTAGAGCTGATTGTGAAGAATATTTATCATTTTTACATATATAACGTAAAAAATCAAGAACTGAACAATTTGTTTCTATTTTTTCACCATTATCTGTGTTTTTTACTGCTAGGCACCATTCTATACATATATAAATATATATTATTAATTATCATAAACAATACATATAATGTTTTATATGTATTATTTTTTTTCTATACTTACCTAATAATTCAATATAAGAATTAAGAAACTGTGTTTCTTTACAATCAATTAAGTTAAAGAATTGTGTTTTATAACAATTACGAAGTTTGTGTAGTAACTTATCACAATCTTGAATATTCTTTAGAATAATATGCAGATTTATCATCTGTAATTAAAGATATTAATATTATGTAAACAAATAATGAAAATTTTAAAAAGATAATACTTACTGCAGAATTTTCTGATTGACCTAGCATTCTGAAAATTACAAACATTATTATTATTAGAATATAAGAAAATATAAATAACACCCGTATAACATGGCATTTTTACAACACTGACAATAAGAATGAAGAATCTTTGAGAGATCTTTGAACAATGTGGAACATAATGTAAAAAAATCAAGGTGATAACGAATAAATATAAGAATATACAAAAGTATGTGAGTTTAATGAATATACAAGATGACCTAAACTTAAAATTAGATGGTAAAACTGCAAGCACTTAATTTATATCTAGAAAGAAAAATAAAATATTCTAACAAATTTATCAGAAAATACTTTGTTACAGAGTATTGAACTTTTGAACAGAGTGATGATTATTACAGAGTGAATATTGTATACATTCACACAACCTTTTTTTTCTTCTTTTAGTCCTTACTTAGATTTCCATCCATACCAAATTAGTCACCAATGGCAGATATTCTTATGTTTTTTTATGACTGACAATATGACCATAGCTTGAATGACCACCTCAACGAGGTTTGGCGTTAAACGTGCGTGTTAATAGGTAAACGAATTTTCGTTTGATGCCTGCATTTGTTCCATAGTTTTAATGTGACACCAACGTGGTCATATTAATCCACACAAACTTTTCGGGCACTCAAATATTATGTTTGTTAATTTTTGAAAAACAACTCTCTTTTTATACTACTTTGTTTTACATAACACTGTATTTCCTAGAAATCTAACAACCATGTTATACGGGATTATCTGTAATTATTTCTCTTATCTGTATTTTCTGTAATTATTATCTGTAATATTATCTGTAATTTCAATAATATACTTACGATAAAATATCTGTTATTTCATTTGTTTCTAATTTAATAGAAAGATAATGTATATATATATTCACTGCTTCTGTTCTTTCCGCCAGTAAACGGTAAAATAAAGATTTCTTTAAAGTTTTTTTTAAAAACAAAATTATCTATAGAAAACATAAATACATAAAATATATAAAATGTTCGTAATTGATATAAATATTGATTAAAGATGAAAAAAATGACATGAATTATTATATAATTACTATTATTATGGCATTTCCATTTCCACTTCTTACAGCTGAATTTAATAATGCAGTCTTGCTAGCTAATGATTTATACGGTTCCAATGAATAGGACTGCCCCATTAATATTTTTCTTAAAGTAATATCTGGTTCTATGCAAATGTTGTTAGATTCTTCATTAATGTTCTCTATTTTATCTAAAGCTATAACTAAAATATAAATATAAATATAAAATGAAAAATTCATATATTTATACATGAGATATAATTTATATATACAAAATCTCTTAAAAGTCACTTAACTAAACTGAAAAGTTTTTAATTTATTTTAGAAGTTTTTATAGTGGTAGTATTATGAGCCCATATTTGTTTAACAACGTTAACTAAAAATTGATATCTTTAAATGAAAAATAAAATATTATAATTCTAATAATAAACAAATATTGATTCTTTTTTCATGCTGTCCCAAAAGTGACTCGAATATTACAATTTAGAATTTGTTAAATATAGTATAACATTTAACATACTGCAATAGAGTGTCTTTTCAGAAATGACAGAAAGTAGAGGTTTCAAATTCTCTGGTCTATTGATTAAAGCTTCTTGATCTTCCTATTGAATAAATATATAATTATAATAATAATAATGTAGATAGTACAGAAAAAAGATTCATTAAAACATGCAATATACTTTTTAACCTTGTCGAAGCAGAAATAATGTTTTTCATTGCTATTCCAAAAATCTTCGTCGTCGTCTTTTGAAATATTCATTTTGATAAAAAATTAATTCATTTATTTCTATAATATTACAATAAAGAAATTACTTTTTACAACTACTATCAACATTAAGAAATATTGTGAAGCATATGTCTTTCGTAATTAATTATTGACATCCTGTCTGATTATAATATAATTATAACTAAATATAAAGTTGTCAATGTTATTATCACGGAGGTTATTATTGAAAAATTGACTGCTTTGGCCATGAATAAATTACATTGAAAAGACGAAACATTCGGTTTTTCTAAATTAAAAAACTATTTTATTTATGATGGAATGTGAAGATATAACCGATAGAGGACACACCGGTCTTAATTGATTTAGGGACCCTGTAGGAGGGACGCGCCAAAGATTTTTGGGGGACAGGAACTTATGTAATCACGTGATTGCGCGCGAATGAATCAAACATTTTAAATAGTATAAAAGTTGTATATAGTTGTGGCGTCTCGCACCTGCTCGGTGCTGACACTCCATGGTTGACTATCCGTAGCTCCGATGTCTTGCACCAGGACGGTGCCGACATCTCGCGGCTGCCAGCGCCAGGTTCGGCAGACGTATCCAAAAACTACTAGAGGTGCGCGCGTCTAGCAGCGATACTTTCTGCCTCGGCTTTGTAACCAAACCATGATGTAGAGGCGGCCGATTGGTCAGAACTCGCGGCGTAATTGCACCTGGGAATCTGATTGGTCGGGCCTAGTGACGAACATCCCGGATCATCTCCTCGCTCCTCGGAGATCATCGATCCAACGGATTTCTCGATAGGTGTTCAATTTTACTCGCCAAGCTTATCAGTCGACTGCGCTTGCACGCTCTTCCGTATCAATTTATCGTTCTGTATCTCGTCGTGCGTGTGTATATAAATTCTGTATATAATTCTGTATATAAATTCTGTATATAAATTCTGTATATTGTGGAATAAAATTCGTTCCGAGAGATCGCAAATAAAAAAGGTGAAATCCCTTGTTGTGTCCGGCTTCCTCATTGGCTGTTACGGTGGTCAGTAACTAGCCATTCGGCCCGCGGACATTGGTTTTTCCACATAGTAGTAGTGAATAGTGTAGGGGGTAGAATGGTGAATTGGTTTGAAAAAATTATTAAATAATGAATTGCATCAAATATAGAAAACAACAAAAAAATTATTATAAATTCAAAAAGAAAGATTCAATTAAGTTTGATTTGGTAAAAGGCATTACAGTATTTTCAAATTTCAAAACAACTTGTAGGAATTTATACAATTTTGATAAATACAATTATCTACTATATATATTATATTTACAATTATTTTAATCATTCGTACAATTTGTTTTTAATTTCCAATATTAATAAATCAATTAGGATTCTTGGGTATTATATTTTCATAACTAACCACAGCCGTTATTTATACATACTAAAGATAAATATGGCTGCGCGTTGCATCGGAAGCTGTCCCCCAAAATTTTCAGCCAATAGCAACCCCAGTAATATGTATGGCGCGTCCTTCCTACAGGGTCTCTAAATTGATTGTTGAGAACACAGAGCCTAGATAACAGCAGTGATCCCAGAGACTTTAGTTCGTTTGATCGACACAGGGGCGTAAAATTATCGTACGACCCGGGAAAATTTGAAATCCGACAAAAATCCAACAATCTCGGACAAAATTTT